TGAATAAAAAATTTTCCTGATAAGCATTTAGAAGTAATCACTTTACAAACAATATGTTTATATATATATGTATATATAAGTATCCCAATGGTTTTCACTAAACTTAAGGGACTTTGCAACCTATCGTTGGTCGATATTCAGTAGGTTCATTGAAGCAGCATGAAATGATAAAATTATCTAACAACAAGTTATGCAGTAGTTTCCAAAGCCTGTACAAATATTTTAGCAAAAATGACAACAACTTTATGACAAATAATAGGTCTTGACAGCAGTAATAATGACATTCATGATCATAGTGACTATAAAAACAATAATAGGTATTATTATCGCAACGAATTCATCATTAACTTAGATAGACAACTAATAATAATACAATCATATCAAATAAATGTATCACTTAATCTTAAGAAGCATGTATTTACTTACTTTCACCGTATTCTATCAATACTGACGTGCTCAACCAGCTTATTCCAAATGAATTCAAGATTAATTCTGAAAGTGAGTGAAGATCCAGCTTATGTCAAATAAAATCATGTAACTGACACGTATTACACTGCCTACTGAGACATCTGATACCTGCTTTCCGATCTTCGTGATAAGAACACAGTTTATCTAGGTTTACCTACATATACATAAGTATACGTACATGCTGCGACAACCATGCCGGTTTTATCGTGATTAGCCAGACGACTGTGTATATCATACTTATTTAAGGATCTCTAAAAATAATGGTCAAGCGATAATTGAAGTTGCGTGAATTTATTACGTCTTCAAGACATTGTTTGCATTCTTGACACTCCTGAGAATTCCTTAGATAGTAATTTGCATGAATTCGTTGAATTCAGCAAATAAATCTACTGCTATATCATTTCTTTCCTGAGCTGTAATATTTTGTGTTGTCAGTTATGTCTCCAATTTGATAAAACGCTCACGGAAATTCAGGACTTAACCAAGCAGCAAAATGATGTTTGAAATTGCCTCAACTCGAATGACAAACTGGCCAATCACAAGCGAGCAAATCGCTTGTTTATCTCATTCGCGGTCACTCAAAATTACGTCCGTCGACAGGCTGCCCGATGTCATTAGGTGTTATCGCGATGTTGTGTTTGCGCTGTTCTGCTTCGTTCTCAGGTGTTTTTTCAACTGAAATGCATCAAAAATACCATTTTTTAACGAAAAGACTTAGAAAAATGGTGGAAAGTAGGCGTTTTTATCAGCTAGAGTGAACATTTATCTGTCATCGAATTTCGTTGTTCCTTTGCACATGGAATGTTTAAACTCTGTGTTAACTGTAAATTACCTTAAGAAAAACGAAATTATCAGGTGATAGAAGTATATTTCGCGAAATTTTGAGGTGGTGTTTCGAATCTCAGAGTTATGAAAACGTGTCAACAGTCAGAAGAGTTTACTGCTATAAAAGAGTGTAAGTTGATTTATCCGTAACATAACACTGAAGAAACAAAGTTTTCAATTAGGTGTCCTTTGCGTTTTAGCAATTTTTATATTGGCAATTATTTGCTGAAAGATAATTCGAATTATCAATGTTGTTGGTTTTCAGGTTACAATTGTAATTTACGCGATGGTTCACTTGATTTGGAAGCTTTGATGTAGTGCAGTTGGAGAATTCTCGTGTTATCGTTGGAATCTCTGTGATATTATGAAATCGTTTATTAAAGTAAATATTTCTTAAAAGTTTTAACTGTATTCTTGTACTACTACTTCGCTTTGCTTGTCGAAGGAATAGTGATATAGCCATTTGTGGAATGCGTAATGATCCACTTCGAAAGAGTGATAATTTCAGATTTAGATTTATTGGTTGAGGATAGAAGGCTTGCAGCCTATGTTAATCCTTTTCTAGTAGATTTCTGTGGTTGTCCAAACCCTTCTTGAACGAATCAGTTGAGGTTGCAGACACCACTTCTTCTGGGAGTCGGTTCCAAGAGTTTATGACTCGATGTGAGAACCAGTACTCAACAGGAATATGATTTCTCCTTGGCTTTTGAACTTTCCTGCTATGTCCTCTAAGGTGTTCCGACCTGGTGGGAAGGAAAAGAGAGAATAGGTCAGGTCCGTAGTCATTATTTAAAATTTTAAACATTGTGATTAAATCTCCTCTCTGCCTACGGTATGACAGTGAGAAGAGATTTAAACTATCTAGTCTTTCCTCGTATGATAAGTTAGCTATACCGTGAACCATACGTGTTTTTGTGCAGCATAAGAACACTATGATAATTATTTGTAATAGGATATACATATAATACGTTATTTTCGATGTACATAGTCGTCCAACATTTGTTAATGTGTATATGTCGTAGTTGCATAATAAATACAAGCTCAACGTATAATTTTTCGGTGGCCTCGATGAAAGGTAATCTTTAACGCAGTCGGATTAAGTAAAACTGAAGTATTGTACGTGTATAAGGACTAATAACTGTCCACGACTTTGACAGTATTTTACAAAAGGGTTACTATATTTCGTTATTACAATACAAACACGTATTTAACGCTATTTTCCACCTAACACTAATGCATAATTTTATTTTGCGCAGCCGGATTAAATGTAACTAAAACATTTCATGCGAAGGCTTAGCAACGCACTGGCGAAATGACAACCGCTTACAACTAAGACGGATTTCACACAAGTATTACTATGTTGCCTATCGATTTCGTTAACTATGCATTGTCGTCGAAATGATAAATAATAGAGATACATGTAGTCGAAACAAATGCATATATTTACAAAAGAACAACAGTCAAACAAATTGAAGATAATTTAGCATGAAACAGTACGCATTCAAATTGAAATGAGTTTACAACAATTCCGTGCGAAAAATCACAGTTGTAGATTTTTCATGGCTACATCATAGTCAAATTAAAGTTCACTAGTCGTTTTATCCACATTATGTGGACCAGTTTCCCTCAGATGATAGTGACACTGAACCTGTCTCTGCAGCTTTCAGCACCACCCGATCCTTCAGAATAAACTGGTTATGATCTTTCCATGCAAAGACCGATAATGTATTCCTTCGACCACCTTCGGCCGTATTGAGACATATCTCAGAATGTTTACATATAACGTGAATTAATCTTACCTTAGGTAAACAATTCCTTATCTTAGCCACAATGAATGTGTGAACAAGGGAGAGAACAGTATTAGAATTGGTGAGATACCATATATTATTCGTCCATATATATACCGTGATAGATTGGAAGAATCATAGAGCTTTCGATTAATCTTTCATAGTTTCACTTCTGGAATATGTAAATATCACGCAACTGCCTCTCCTATCCGTCTGTTGCAACCAGCTGAAAAAAACTAAATCCTCAAACGTTATACCTCTTTGATTAAGTTACCCAATAATATTCTTTTTGTTAATGGATTCAATGCATATCACATCTGAAAAATTTATACACATGTTAACTTGTCCCCTCAAGCTCAAAGGCGTAAATTATGTGCGATTTTTATTATTATCATTTCAAAGCCCACCTAAGTAACGTCTGCTACGTATTAGGGCAATGGATAGCGACACACACGGTGTGTGTGTGTGCGAAAATTACCTCTCGATCACTCAACACATTGGTGTTTGAATCCGTACTGAGATCTTATCTATAGCTGTAGGCTACCATAACCTACGTCGGGACGTACAACTTTCTGCGTCCAGCATTTCTTATGTCCCTTTTACAGAGCAGAAAGGTAGCATGACAGATTGACTGTTCGTCTGGGCAAAGCGCCTGTGTTAGCCAGTAGTACAACTTCACCCACGGAACGCCCAAACTTGGTGTAAACAACTTACGCTACCTTCAGTGTGACCTCTCTTCAGACGACCTTTCTGGCATGTTACGACCTGCAAGGAACATTTGTTCCAGCCAGAGTAGCTTGTGGGCTCATTGATATATGCAAGTTGGCCCACCACTTGTCACGATAATAACTATCGGTCGAGAATAAACTGATTAAATCTGTTAAATGCTTTGAACAATTCCAGTACAAGATATCCTGTCAGAAAAGCTTGGCCCACCTGTTTTATCTTGTCAGCAAGTATTTGATAAATGGTGAAACGTTTTGAGGTGCTAATCAAACCGCTGATCAGTCATCACATAACCTATATGATAAAGATGGTCTGGATATGTGCATTACATGTGTTGAATCATTACCTAATCGCAAAGGCTATTTGAGATGGTGACTGACTGGTTGTGTGAGGCTTCAACGTAGAAATATTAGTCACAGGGTGGCTGTCTGGCGTACCAAGGGTGCTACAGCACATCGACGTTTTCAGGTTCTACTATGCGCTAACTCTGTACACGGTCCACAATTAACCTCATTGTATTAAGAAGCACGAGCGAAAACTAGAAAAGATGTATTGGTGCAGATGCATTAATATCGTGTGTTCTTAATCGCATTGTTAATTTTTAAAATATTTAACTGAGTGGTAGGCAATATTACTGCCTCAGTTTATTTCTTTCTACTGTCACCAACTTCCTCTTCGATGTATTGATCTTTAATTCATTAGTTTAGTCATTGTCTACTGATGGTTGTATACTCAGGTACCCCAGTATTAGTTCTATAATAATTACTGTTGTTCATTCCTTGAGTTCCTGGTGAACCGTATGATTTCATAGCTACATCCATACTCCACTAACTTCTCCCATGAGAAGTACACTATCGATCCTGGCTTTTGTTGTCATACAATTGTCCCTTCACCAAATGTCCAGTCGATTTACACCTTCTTCTGTATATTTGATGGTAAGATGACAGGATTTCACCATGAGCTGACATCGATCAGAGAGCCGTTGGAAACCCTGAGAGTTCTGGACAGCTGTTTCGTCCTATATCAGAACTCTTCAGTGGGCGCGCCCACTTGGGTTCAAACCCAGGACCTTCCGACTACAAGCGGAGCTAGTAACCATTAAGTCACTGGAACCCGATCGAACGGTCAGCCAATGAATTCCAACTTCTGCCAATTCACGATGTAGCGCAACTGACACTAGTCAATTTCACCGCTGGCGAGTATTTGTCCTCACACCCGACCTGATGTACTCCACTGGTCTTTATGTGTGTATGTACGTCTCAGCGTCCTTACGGGTTGACTTCAGCGAAATTAAACTTTTCACATCCTACAGACGTCAATACCACACCGCTAATTTTGGAAAGCTCACAATCCAAACAAGGGTAAATAGAACTGTACTCATGACTGAAAAGATATTGAGTGAAGTGTAATGATACTCTTCAGGATAACTGGTTACTTGTATGCTAAATTATTGAAATAATAAGGTTAGGCTTTGGTTTAAAACAGCTTAAGGTTAATTGGATGTAATTAGAACAAATATTGCGGTTGGTTAGGCAGAGATTGGGGTTAACTTAAACAAAGACTATGGTTAGGGATTCAAATTCGTCTGTTTTACAGCACAGTTGTTCGTTCTCCGCCTCTTGAGTGCATAAAAGTTGGACTTTGCCTTGACTCAGTAATTTCACTTCTATGTCTGTTCTTGCATTCTTCAAGGTGCCCTTTTTACACCATGTTGACGTTAATCTATAAGGAATATCAGAATGTAAAATCGCAAAGGAAAGCTCAATTAGAAAGTAAGAAGCAAGTCATGCTGACATCAATCAACCAAGTTTCAAATGAATTATTGGCTAAAATTGATGAAAATGTTTCAAAGGTAATGAAAGTGTTTGTTTTTACTTTAACACTTCATTATCCTATGAGTCAGAAAACAACTGAGATTGCTGAACAAAGGCTAATCTTTTCGATAATTTCATTTTCCCCTTCGTCGGGTTCTGCAGTTATCTATCTATAATAATTGAAGAAATGTTGTTACTAACGATATTGATGTTCTACCTAAATAGACTCGATTGAACCATTAAGTGAAGTTAGATTACAGTTCAAAAGTATCTCTGAGTAATGGTATCAGATGAGTTTCAGTAAACTAAGACAGACTTTTTTGAATTTACAGTTTTCCACTTCAGGCCAAAGTGTCAATAATGGCTCGACCTATTACTTTCACACACAGAATTCTGGCTATTTTAGGCGAGTTGCTTTTGCCTCTGTTTTTCCGCATATTCGGCAACTGGAAGGTTTCGGAAATTTGTTTGGTACCCGATAGGTGGTAGAAAAGGATTCTCCAGTGCTGGCCTATTTGGAGCAGGTGGTCTAATGTGAAACTGTTGATGATTTTTACTACACCTTTATTCAATCACACTGGTAGGTATTCCTAATCATAAAAGACTAAGTTCATTTGTTCATTTTGTACACATAAATATCGAATATGATGAATAGCAGGACATGGAAAGAAACTGTTCTTTGTCGATTAATTTCAGTCTTTTATTATCGTTTTTAATTCGTTTTCTCTAGGCCTACATAAATCAACATCGATTAAATAGTGAATTCAAAGAGTTAGTCTCACAATTACACATTTATCAGAATCATGTTAACCTGTGGTTGAAAATGGTAACGGATATACGAAGTTCACTGAAGGAATTAGGCGATGTTGAATGTTGGTCAATGAAAATGGAAGAAGATGCAATGCTGATTGACCATTGTTTACAATCAGTTCTTAGTCGTTACTAAAATTTCTAGAACACTTGGATGACTTTTGTCATTCACTCAACCAACTAACTAACGCTGATTTTAAGATCATGGTAGTTTGCCGCTCATTTTTGCGTTTCAGTCAGCTAATGACAATTGAGTCCTCTTGGCTATGTGTTTATGAATTTAAGCCAGACATTTGTATAAGAAAAATGTACATACAGCACTCCGTATTTCTAACTTTTCCATAAAGTGATGAACATTTATTTCATTATTTATCGTTTTGTTTGTTTATCTAGTCTGTGTACCTTTCTTCCTGTTATCACGATTACTATTATTTTTGCGTTTTTCACTTTGAACATTTTTCGGGTATTATTCCACTTGTTCTCCTCTATTAATTCTTGAATTCCCTCACACACACACACACTCTGTTTCTGTACATATATGCATATATATACGCTGTTGATTTTCCAGTTCGTTTCCAAGATGTATACATTCTGTCAGATATTTTATATAATATATGACCTGTTTTTTCATTTGATATTGAACATACATTACGTTACTTTTAACATTATTATTATCATTATTATCATGAGTCTTCACACGCCTTTTGTATCAATCTCCTCACATGATTTATGTAGTTCCTTAAAAACGATCCATGTATATATGACTATACAACTTTATAGTATATTGATTGGATAAAGGGACTCTTCACTGAATGATTTTCTTTCCTAATGTTACACACCAACATGGAAGTTACTGAATCATCGTGTATTTCTTAAGTTTTCTATTTGCTGCATTTATCGTGATGATGGTTACACTAAAGTTAGTGGATGGATAAATCACCACGGTTTCCTTTAAGTATTAAACAGATTCAGATCACAATATGCGCGATCTGTTTGATGTGCGATAAATGTTCAGTCAAGAAACCAACCAACCACTTAGTAACAAGATTACCATCATTCTTTTGGATTCTCAGTGGAACATGGGGCCTCTCCCATCCTCTGCAGTCCTCTTCAGTTGACTCGACGATTTCTCATTTCCTCCTCGCACAATCTCCTCCTCCATGTCACTCTTGGACGCCCAACTCGCTGTTCTTCATTCGCGTCCCACTCGATGGTCTCCTCAGTGTATGTCCGAGCCGTCTCCATTCTCTTCGGGATATTTGTTGAGCGATATGTTCTTGATTGGTTCGTTCACAGGCTTCCTTGTTGTTTATCCTTTTTTTGGCCATTTGACCCTCAGTATTGAGGTAGCGAAGGAGACAGATATTGCCAATGTTTTTCTTGACGTGTGTGTCAAGTTTCTCAACCTTAAAGAAGTATGCAGTGGCTTGACACTGTATTCGAAATCCGAATCCTGTTTTTTATGCTGAGTGCAATAAATTTCGACACTGATTGATTTCACAGTGGTGAATGTCTTCCTTGACTTCCCGAATCTGGTTTGTTTTGAGAATCTTCTGAAGTGTTCAACCTACTGTTTCCTTGGAACCTCCTCTGTGATAATTAGGTTCGCTTTACTATTTTTGGCTTCATCTAGTGATTCCATCTCGGATAGAAAACTGGTTACCTGATATGATATTCCGTGGTCGCTTTTACCTGTGGCTTGTCTATTCTGCTTCATTCGCCAGCCAGTGTGTCGCAGAATTGTCTTTTGCCTTTCCTAGCCCTTTTATTCACTTCTTTATTCAGTGCGTTGTAAATTGGGCTCAGATTCTCCTCCTCTTGTGCACGTTTGCAGTGTTTCATTTTATGTTTCACTGCCCCTCTCTCCCCTATTAGCTTCTAGGTGTCCGTAGAGAGCCGTTCCTTCTCTGGTCTCTTATTTCGTCCTAGAACGGTTGTACAGGTTTCCTTGGATATCGCCTTCAGAGAGCTCGAGTGTTCTCATCAGTGAGGGTGTGTAATGTCTCCTACGTCTCTCTTATGGCTGCGGTGAAGGCATCGTTTGTAGTTTCGTCTCTCAGGTTCTAAGTGTTTAACTTCAATTGTTGTCTGTCACCAGTTGTTTTGTAGGCATTCAGCTTGGCGCTGAATGTTTCTTGAACCAGATCATGGTGTGAGACTACACCTTCTCCCCTTGTTGATTTTGTGTCCAGCAGGCTGCATCTTCACCTCCTTGAGCAACATCGAGATGAAGTCTATCTGAATGGTTGTATATCCGTCAGGCGTGATCCATGTTGTTTTGTGTATATCCTTCTGGTTTCACTCGCTGCCTCCTATCAACAAATCATAGGAAGCGCAGTAGTCTGCGAATAATTATCTGTTCCCATTCAGTTTTCTGAGTCAGAGACTCTTGACCCATGAAGAGTTCTCTTCTGTATTATCTGCTTCCAGCTAGGCTTGCACTCATATCCCCCATGAAGATTTCGATGTCACCATTTGTGATGTTGTCCACTAGTGTTTGTAGTTGTTTGTGAAAATCTCCCTTCTTCTCTAGTTCTGTGTTGTTTGTAGCACTGTGGGTAGCGTTGGATGATTGTTACCTAACTTCCTGTCTTTTGAGTTAAATCTTGCTGTCATTATCCTTCAGAGTGAAATTGGTTCCCACTGCATTAGGGCTTCCGCTGCCACTGGTGACATCATGAAAGTGACACACTGTCTCAGTGTGCTCGTGGTTGTCGTCTGAGTGATCAGACGGGAATAGATTACTGACTCTCCGATTTCGATGATCTGCATCCATTCCATCTGATCTCACAGATACCTAGCACTTCTGTGCTATGCAATTTCATTTCTTTAGCTACATGGGCGACCTTCCCAGTCTCCGTTCCTAATCTCGCCTTCATCGAGAGAAGACACCTCAGGTGGCTGACTGGCTTCCCAAATTCAGACTTGCACCAACCCGCGGTGTCATTTCGCCACTCTGATTTTGGTATTTGTAATATATTTCTTGTGCTTTGAAGTTTCTGTAGCATTTCGATAAATGTTGTGGTGTAGGTTTGCTAGCCACAAGCCAGAAAATTCCATCCTTACACTGGGGTGGGACCGATCCTATTCACGTGACAATATCCAATCACTGAGAAATATGTTGCATGATACAGACTAAGACGCATTCTCTGTTCTTGTGATCACTGTTACCGAGTTTGTCCCCCACCTCCATGGAAATCAACTCTATTTTGTGGCGGAGGATTAAGTCAAGAACATTTTTATGTTGTGTTGCGAAGCGAACGCACTGCTTCCATCCTCCTACATCTATAGCTTCCAGGAGCTCTTCTTCGACTCCAGGTCCATTGCAGGTGTCTCAGTTCACTCCGATGAGGTTAAAATCGTCACGAATTAGCTTGTAGTCTAATTCCAGCGTAGGCAAGTGCTCTAGTATTTCTCCACTATCAGCTGTTTAAGGGCTGTTAGAGGCTCTGTATATACATCCACCAGAATTTCATTTGCATTTATGTTGAGGCCTGTCCACTTAGATTCTGAGAGTTTGTTGATAGGTGGGCTCGTAAATGTATTGCAGTTAGTGGATTTGGAGGCATATAGTGGACAACCACCTCCTCTCTTGACGACTCTATCATTCACGTGGATGTCCTATTCACCGATTACCAGCTTTGTGTCAGGTATGTCATTAGTTAACCAGGCCTCAGTTACCAGGATTAGTCTTGGCCGTTCCATGTATACCAGGCTGCGAAGTGATGTTATTTTGTTGGAAAGAGATCGAGCAGTTAAGAGCATAATTTTCGGGAAAACAGGGTCGTTGGGAGGATAGTTGGTAAGCTTCCTCGTTACTCTCCTTAAATCCTGCCTGCCTATATCATGTTCAGAGGCATTCTGAGGTGAGACAGTGTCATTGACTGACTAGTTTCAAAGTAGAACTTAATACCGATGTTCAGCTGTCTGAGCCGCCACACTTCATTTAGCACACAAAGCAGGAGAAGAAAGTAAAATGAGGTTCAAAACAGAGACATGAGGCAAAAAGAATAGTAATATCGAAGAACAGTATAGTTTTATTAGATATTATGGGTTACAAGTAGTGAATGCATCTGTGCCATCACCAATTGTCTCCAGCCAATGGTGTTCACCTTTCCGTGGACCCCAACCAATCAGGAAGTCTACACCTCCTTATGTGGCTGCCTCAAACTAACTGTTATGGATTTCACTAACTGATGAAGCAATGTTTTGGTTTGACCACCACTGGCTCTTTTCCGACCTGATCTTATGTCAGTGTAAATTGTCCATGGAGGATTGTGATGTTAGCCGACATCTCCATATGCTCCATTGCGATGGATTTTGAGTCATTGTCAACGTGTCTACTATTCCCTGAAGAAATTCTGCTGCTAGAGGGGCTATTGTTTTGCTGCAGCCGAAAATAATTCTGTTGCATATAAAGTTTTCTGGGATCATTTCTCGGTATCAGATAGTCGGTTTCACTGTTCGTGTTGTAATCTACATGGTTGTCTGCCCTTGGCTTGTATACTGAAGTAGTGACCGATACTATCACGCTAGGCTCAGAAGTTCAACTTACCACATGAAAATGAGAACCAAGTTCTGATACAACAGCCAAGACCTTGAAAAGATGAGGGAGAAATTATTCGCCGGACGAGCAGAATACCCAAAACTGTTTCGCTGAGATAGACCCTTACGTGACTGTAAGCAGAGAACAGAAGTTCTCTAATCTATCCGGTTATCTGATCTTAAAATCTCCACCCAGCGACTCACTTGCCTCAGATGACACTCTCAAAACGGAGTCTAAAGTAAGATGAACGGTAAACAAAGAAGAGACTTCATTACCCATGCAAGAAAAAAACAATGCCTTATGCACAAAATAAAATGTCGGGGTTTTGTGGTAATTAATTGTAATCGTAGTATTAGTATTTCGAGATGACCGAATTACAAGAATCTAAACAAAACACAGAGGGCGGAATTCAGGAATTTGTATTTAGCGGAATTATAATTCAATTCATATAAGAAATATGAACAATCAACAGTAAGTATTTAAGCAATACAGAGATAGAAATAGTCAATCACCACAGGTTTGTTGTGTAGTTGATCTTATGTGGTAGGGTTGCCAGCTCTACGTGCAGCTGGCTGGTGAACTAGTGAACC